CTCCCCACACATACTGCACACGCATACAGACACATACAAACACAATCTCAGCAAAGTGACTTTGCATGTTTAACAGCTCAGCAGATAAGGATCCAGCAAAATAGAACCTTCGCTGAATCTCAATTTAGGTCAAACAATAAGCTTAGGCAAATATTTGAATACGATTAAATTTGTGTTAAATTATTTCATTATCACCAGAGATCGCTTGAGCTGCTTGAAAAGTTATTATAATAAGGAAAAATTTCAGGGGTATTATCTTTTTTATATTTATTGTCTTAAAATTATGTACATTTAAATATGTTTTTCTTGCTAAACAAACCGGTTTTTTTTATTGGAATCCATACATACTTTCAAGCTGCTTAACTAGAAAATATTACTAACTGAATTTGATATTTTAAACAACAAACTAAAAAGTGGTTCGGTAAAACAATTTTTGTAAAATTGAATATAATCATGCTAAGTATTCCGCACAATTATTTGGCTGTCCCATGATAACTTCTCTATAAATAAATATGGAAAGAGAAATGTGGAAAATTTATGGAGAGTAAAATGGCGTGGAGATCGGGGACTAACTGTTGTTGGTAACCAAGCATTAGGACTAACGATGCATTGCCATGATTGTGGGTGTTTGTATGTATGCGGATGGGTGGGTCCCTGTGTGGGCTGCTTGTAACTGTGTGAGACGCTTTCCATGCCTATGTATTTGTTGATGCCTATTCCCAGTGCAGCATTTGGCCCAGTGCTGGTTGGTTGATTTGCTTACGCCGCCAGACGCAGACAAAAGTATATTTAGACAGCAGCTAAAGGGGAGGGGAGCTTTTTTTCACAGTCATTTGGGCACATAACAATCTTTCTCTTTTTTTGTGTTTGCTGGCGCTCTTCTACCCTCGTAGTGGCCATAAATATTCTGGCATTGTTTTGCTTTATTATTTTTATTGTTATTGTTTCCCCCAACAGTGTTTGGCTCTTCACAATTTATGTTGATTATTTTTATGGCGCGGTCGCTTGGTGGCCAGTCAGTCAGTCCGCCGTATCAAAAACAGGAAACTAAAGCCCGGCAATATGTCAATATATATGCTATAGTCTGGGCCGTTGTTCGGTTTTTGTGTTTAACGTTTAACATGACAAATGGCCACGCCCCCTGGCTTAACGCTTGTGTTGTCAATGAATGGCAATTTATACCCATACATATTTAAAATCGGCAAACAAAGGAGCCAGCGATAACAACATGACTGAAAAAGTTATGGAAAATGTTTAGAAAGAGCTTGTGAGTTGGGAATAAGTCAAGCAATCTGAGTTACAGGGGTTAAGAATGTTTTTTTTTTAATTTTAATATTTCTATGAAGTATATGTCATTAAGTATAGATTTTATTTACTGTAACTATATTTTATTATAGTTCTTTTTTAACTGATAATTGAACGCACATAGTCAGTCAGTAGATTATAAATAGACAAATTTCTATGTTTTCAACAAACTACGTCCGCATAAATTACGTGAGCTAAACCTGCACATATATAGAATATATACAGCATTTAAGCGAGCTGACACATTAACAGGCATCCGCACACAATTCTGAGGTTAAGCCAGAGTTCCAAGAAACAGTGAATGTGGGCGATGGCATCATGGTTGGCTGCATACCAAGTTCTGTCTGAGCCAGGACTTTGCAAGTGGCTTAACCACCCACTAAAACCCACCTAGCTGCCAACCGACTTGCCGTCCCTATTTCGGAGACCTCAAAACTCGTTGGTTCCCTGGCCCCAATGCTGATTCTTTGGCTTTGGATTTCGGCTGCTGCTATTTTAGTAGCTGGCTATTAATATTTTACTTCTTCCTGCACGCTTAGTGTCCTCGATGTTTGTTTGTTTTGTTTGCCTGGATGACGCCGTTTTATTGCTGCTGTTGTTGTCATCCTTGTCGACGTCTTCGCTGCCATTAACACGCTTAACATGGGTAACATGATAAGCTAACAAGTGTGTTTGTCTAGGTTTTGACTTGATTTTGATGTGGTTTTCCTTTGCTGATGCCTCGCACCCACTTGAAAAGCTTTTGGCCTTGACTTGGTTTCTTCACAAGCGGTTTTGTTAAGATTACCTTGATTTAGTTTCCCTCTCCTTTGGCAGCATGTGTATATAGATGGGATCTTAAAATGAAAAAAATAGTTTATAAGCGAAACCTAATACCTGAAAAGATAAGCTTAAGCTTATAAAAATGTAATGACGTAGATAAAATATTTACAAGAAAATGAAAAAATCTTTACTTAAATTATTTCCTTTCAAATGCTAAATAAAAAACAATTCCCACATTTTTGTCACCAAATTCTCGTTTGTTCCATATAATCAAAACTTAATTCAATTAAATTGGGTTCCTAATGTTTCTGCGGTATTTTGCAATGGCAGCGGTCGAAATTAATTGCAGTTCATTATAACCATTACAAATCTGCAGACCACACATGGAAAATCAATTAAAAGCAGCGTTAGATAACAAAACATTTGCACGGCCACCGCAAATCGTTGCCGCAGAAATATAACACAAAAACATTCGGAAATTTGCCCACCAAACACCAAAACAGCGAAACGACAAACCAATGTGTATATCCAACGCCGATCGTGTCAATATTGGCCACGCTTTTGTGGGCCATCAAGTGGTCCGCATGGGGTATGCCTAAATTTCATATTTTTAAAAACAAATTCTTATTGGGACAACAATGTCAGATTTAGCAAAAGGCGCATATTGATTTTTATAAACTTTGTCTCTGCTAACTCTGTATTTAAGCCTTTTAAAGAGGACATTTTATACCTCTTGTAGCACTAATAAGATCATTATTAAAAACATATCTTTGGCACTCTTATTAAAAACATACACTTTTCAATATGTTCAAGAAAACAAAAGTAATCCAAAACCTTTACTTATCGTCCTACATATGATACCCCTGCTAAGTCAATGGGTAGCAATAAGATATAAATTTTCAAGCAGCACTTGCACTTGTTTGACTTTTGGGTACATAATATACATATTATATATATACACAAGTACATTCGAATAATCCGTTGGTGTGCAGGTAAACTTGTTCCAAGTAGGGATAGAGATTATCCCCAGACGCAGACACATGGCAAACAAACGGAGAGCGCACACAACCAGAAGCCAAAATGAACAAAAAGCGCAAACAAAGAACAGGACAAATTTGCATTTGATGCGCGTTTTCCGCACCCACAGATACAGGATGTTCAGACCTTGGTTGGGCGGAAAAACCAAATAAAATCCCTCAACAATATACATAAAATATCGACTGCAGTTGGCGAGAGCTTCACGTGCATCTCAGTTGCATGAAAATTGCATTCAACAAAAATGTAACTGGAAAGTGTGTTTAAACATTTAAAAGTCACACAGGACTAAAATTAAATATTTACTTCAACAAAAAATACAATGAAAAAATATTTAGACTAAGCATAAAAAATATGGTTAAGGTGTTTTAAAAATATTAAAAGCAATCTGCTTTATAGAAATTGCAAGGAAATATTTGTTTTTCTTGTTTTGCTTAAATTAACAAATTGATTATGATGGATAAAAGCATATTCTTTTAGGTTCCCTTAAACAGCTGTTTAACAGATCTCTGCACTTTCTACAACCCGAAATCAGAGGGTTTTTAGTCCAATTAAACTTCAACTGGAAAGTACTTGCCAAACATTAAGCTCATGAGAATGATTTCAGCATCTGTGGCTGATCCGGCATTCGTCAGCAGATGCAAGGACACCTGAGACTGACACACTTTCACTTTAAGCCAGTTGTAAAAGCGAGAAATTCGCAGGATTAAGAGCCGTAATCCAACGCCAGCGCCGCCTGCTCCGATCCCATTCCAGATCCATTGGGATGTTGCGCCCTTGCAGCCATAACCACCAACCCAACAGTCCACTTGTGCATCGGAGCGTTTTGCCAGCGACTTAACAACATTTTGCATTCTGCCCACTGTCATCAGGCGTTGTTGCCTTGCCTCCGAACCCGTCCGACCTCCCCCCTCTCTGAATTTTCCCACCGCTCCTCAATTTTCCGCCCAGCTTCCCCGCTTTTCCCACTGCAACGGCTGTTGTTGTTTCCGTTTCCATCGCTGGGAAGGCACATTTTGCGTAATCTTGTTAGATAATTACCGTGTAGGGACCATGCGGTTTCCCTATCCGTGTGAGCCAACCTCCCCTTCCAGCTGCAGGTGAGTGTTTATGTGCGAGTGTAGGCCAGGTCGGTAGGCCATTTCAATTGCCCAGCCCGCTTTGCTCCCAATCGGTTTCAGATAGTCAGCTGCCGACCCAGTTTGAGGGTCCAACTTTGAATGTCTCTGACAGGAGAGAAGGTTTCGCATGGGTTTTTCTGGATATTCTTGGAGAACCAAGTGCCTTTTGAGATTTGAAATTCAATTAAGTTCAAACTAATGCAACTGGTAAAAAGGAAATTAAATTTCTGGGGATTTTCGGTAATGACTAAGTATTAAATCAATTTATGTTAGAAAATTTAATTTTGATTGAATATTATAGGATTTTGGGCTGAGTTTGTCACCTTTGTAGATATTTACTTCTTGGTAATAGTAAAGCTTTAAAATGAAACAAAAGCTTGATAAAGAATTGATACAAATGCAATCATGCCCATGTTCACAATAATATATTTTAAAAGGCCAACTCCAAAATTAATTTATTATCTCACATCCAGGAAATGATTTTCCAGCCGGATATCCTTGGCCCAAACAATTCATTTTCCGTGTAAAGCTTCTGCGCACATTTAATAAGCAGAATGCAATAAAATAGTAATTTTAAAAGCTTTTAGCTTCCAATTTCAATTCAAATTTTATGAAATCACTAAAACCAATTATTGGGCAATGTCCAAACCCAATAATCACCAATTTGATGCAACAATTCAACTAAAGCTAATTTATTTATTAAGCCAAATAGTGGATGTTTTTGTACGACCGAATTTTTCAATAAGAGGTTCTAAAGCCAAAGAGCACAGATGGGGATAAAAAATAAACTTTTTCATAGATTTATTTATGGGCAATAAGCAAAAAAAATACGAGAGTGATAGAGACAGACTGGGAAATCAGCGACTTCATGATTGAATTGCATTTATGCTCGATCAATTGGAAAACAATTATCCCAATTATGAAACAAAAAAATTAAAATGGAAAATTAAGTATTCGTAAGAGGTTCGTGCACTTAATTTGTTTGCTCTTTTTTCCCACGAAAATAATTTTCTGTTCTTTTTTAGTGCATCTGGCTCATTTTCCACGTTTACTTCCGTACTGGCAATTTACATAATACAAATTGCAATTATCTTTAATGTGCTTAAGTTGTGACATTGACTGGTCAATTTAAATGTTCTAATTGAATTTTGGATGATAAGGTTTGTCTATAAAATACTCAAATCAAAATATTCTTTAGCTTACCTTAATAATTAAATAAACTAGGCATCCCAGAAACGAGCTTCAAATATATAAATGCAACAAGCAGCGCCAAAATATAAATAAAAGCAGAAAATAATTAACATTTTAATTTTGAAGAATTTTGTAGCTTGGCCAACCAAGATTGTCTATTTCAATAACTTATAATTAATTCTTAAAAAACAGTTGTTAGCTAAAAAAAAGTTTTTTTTTAACATTCTTGAAGTGCTCTGTGTGTTTATTTTATTTGCAATTTTAGCTGGTCAGATGAAGGTTCTTGTTTGTTTAAATTTACAATTTTAATAGTTTTTCAATTTTTTCATTGAGTTTGCATGACTTTTCCCCCGCCACTTTTCCGCGCCTTCTGCCTAGTCGAACTTTTTGATGAACAACAAGCAGGAAGTGCCGGCAGGCAGATGGATGCCGCCAGCCGGGCCGCATAAATATTTTAGATTTTCCACGCCAGACTTTGTTGCTGTCGCAGGGAGCGAAATTGTATTGCATGGACGTGGTTAGGAAGGGGTGCCCAAGGGCGGAATGGGTTGTACCAGTGGCAGCTGCACTTTCCAAGGCCTATTCTGGCAACTGGCAACTGACTCTGGATTGTTAGCCGTTCTGGCCATGTCGCTTCTGCCTAGTTGGCCAAACTTGGCACCCGGCAACTGCAATGTTGACGCTGCTGTTGCAACAGAACTGCGGTGCCCGAAATGGGGAGATTCTGCCAGGATAAGAGGACCTGTAGAAATAGCCAAGCACCAAGCTACTGCACAGGGAAAAATATGATAATAAATAAAGATTTTCTTTTCGAACAACATGGCCCTCAAAAAAACAAATACTTCGCTTAAGACCGGTTTTCCAATATCATTTCAATAAAAAACATTTTTCGCAACAACTGCAGTTATACTCGTAAAGAGAATAAAACAATAGAAAAACAAGTCATGTGATGTGAAATATTTCCAAAGATATGTTTCTGGATTGAATTTAACCTTTGTGTTAAAAAAAGAAATGGAAATAAATATTGAATAAAGTGGATTAGACTTTTGTTGAGAAATATCTATAGATGACGCATTTCAAAACTTTATAGAATATGTTAAAGTTTTTTATTTCGGAAACATAACAAACTATTTAAATTTTTTAATAATTTAATATTGAAATGTGAATATTAACCTTTTTCTAATTATATATAAAAATTTGGATATTTTTCACTGTATTCCTCTTCTCTTCCATAACGTCGTTTATAAATAATTTTTGCTGTTGCTCCTGGTCCCTTCTGCCACATGATTGGGTGCCTTTGGTATTAATTTGTTGCCTGCACCAAAAGTGCTTAATAAATATTTTAATTAAGAAGAAGCACAGTTCGGCCGGGTCAAAGCCTGATGTGCACGATACAGAATGCTAAGGATGCACAGGATGCGGTGGATCAGATTCAAGTGCCATGCAGGTCTTGAGGGCTTGAGGCCAAAGCAGATTGAGGGGCAATATGTGCAGACTAATGACACATCACACACAGCCTTTGATGGATAAATAACATTATATGAAAATGAAACTCGAGAGGACAGATGAAAAAGGAAAATTAAAAGTGGATGCTTTGCAACAATTTGACAAGTTTTCTTGCAGTTTTCTTTAAAACTTGTACTGGTGTATAAATAGAGACATGAAAACCCATTTTTGTACTAGCCTCTTATGAATATAAATTAAATGTCCACTCGGACGGATTATAAATTAATCAGGATTATAGGCATCCTACTATTTAAAAAAAATGTCTTCTCCAAAACTTTTCTATTATTTTTTAGCCTAAATTTATAAAATATAACTTTAATTAAGAAACTTTTCAACGTTTTAGAAAATGTTATTTTAATTAATCAAATTTCTCAGATATTTTTAGCCAAACGATTAAATCTGAAACTAAAGTTTATTCCTAAAGTTGGCCAAAAACTGTGCAAAGTTCAAGTTGAGTCGAAAATTGCATAAACTCATTTGTATAATGCACACGCTCTGCCATCCAATCCCCTGATTTCTCATCCCACTCCCCAAGTTTTTCCCGCTATTCCTCTGTCTTTTGTGTGTATCTGTGTGTGTCCCGCTCATCTGCATATGCAGCGATGGAAGCGCTGAAAACTATGACTCGAAAATGTGACCTGCTGGATGCGTACTGGGGGAAAATGGGAAAATTTGCAAACAGGGTTGGGGTTAGGAGGTGCTACGAGGGTTGCAGGGCTGAAAAGTCGAAGGGGGCATGGCCTGGCCTTGGGCGACATTTAGTACTCGCCACGTAACGTGGCCGCCACGCCCACCCACTTGGCCGCCGCCCTTCTGCCAAACTTGGCCCGGAACATGGCGGAGCTTAACTGTGACACATTTTACACATAATTTTCAACACCTAAATCCGCAAGTTAGTGCCAACCATCAGATTTTGCACACGTTAACGCAAACATAAAGCGTTGGACTTTGGATTTGGATTTTCTACAGTGCCGGAGAAAAGGAGCTGAAACTGAAAAAGGATGCCCATCTGGAACAACCTGTTTTGTGCATTTTAAAGCGACCAAGACGACCCGGCCACGAATAAAAAATGGACCATGAAATGCACAAGTTTTTGTGCATGCGGAAACAAAGGAAAATAAAGTGAATATTCAACGCAGATTGGCCATAGCTGGGAAAAATCCTGTCTTCTTGTTGGAAACTTTTAACTGAATAGAATGAGCGCTTGAGTATGTCAAAGGTCAAGAATGAGTTTGCAGAGTTTCTAAGGTGACTGGGAAATATTTCCTAAATTCATTTTTAGATTTCGCTGATTTGAATATTCCTATATTTGTTGAAATAAAAAAAATTAAGATTTAAGTTTATCAAATTTAATTTTTTATTAATATTAGAAACTATTAACCATGTAGGAATCTCTATACCATATCCATAAAATAATATACAGCCATTCTTCAAACTGTACTGCCAACAAAAGTAAAATAATGCTTAATAAATTTAGAAATTTTCATGAAAGACATTATACATTTGAGCAGAAGAACAGCAACTGGGAATATATATATATTATTATGATTTATCAACATGGGAACAGGGTCCTGTAAATGTTGAACACATCTGGCTATATGATTTACATATCAGGCCGACCGTCAACTGGATGGTTGTTTCTCTTGTTGCTTCTGAAATTGTTGACCGTCCATCACGTGATGTTGCCTGTTTGTTTTAAGCAAAAGTTTACATAACCAGGGCGCAGGAAACGAGAAAGCTGGGAGGAGATGGAGATAAAGGAGCCTCTTGCAACTTGAAGTGGAAATTAATAAAAACAAAAATGTTTCCAGCCAGCTGGACATAGTAACATAAAAAATACTAAAGGAAATTAATATGCAACTTTGTGATGTATGTTTTATGTAGCATATGTTGCATGTTGATGCAAATATGTCAGGTTATTTTTTTGTTTCATTTAAAGATGTCTTTGTAAAATTATATATTTAATCTGTAAAATGGGGTTTAATGTGATAATGTGCAGTAATTCACTTCTACACGTAAATTATCCGATTTCCACAAAAACTTTCTCTGGAAATCAAATTAAGCTAATCAAGGTCAACTCGTGCTTCTGACTAAGTAGCCAATAAGCAGAGTTCCCAAGCGAAACAATTTTTGCCAATCAATTGCCGCCTCCCAAAAAGGCCGAGAAAAGAGAAAATTCTGAGAAGTACTTTCTCCAACAACTACAAACAGTTTATATACAAAAATAACTCGGAATACTGCCTCCGTCGTCCCAACTCGACCTCAACCCCATGACCTCGGACAAAATCAGTCCGGTTGGCCTGGGCTGGCATAAAGATAAAATGCCCCCAAGGAATCGGGCAACAGTTTGTAAAAGTTTTCAATAAGCTTCTGGTATATCGAAGCAGTTTGTGGATGCGCAGCGGAAATGCATAAACATTTATAAGAATTTCCTTTGAAAGCATGTTAAACATAATTTCGTGCCGAGGGATACCAAGGCAATAGGATGAGACGGGGGGCATCGAGGGAAATGTGACAAGAGAAATCAATTGAAGTTACTTGTAAATGAATTTCAAGTTATCCGGGACAAGTTTGTTTAATTTGTGTAATGACAAAAACCAAAGAATATTTGCTTATCAAGCTTAGAGAAAAGTCTAATGAAAGTCGAGATGATTATTTGCTTAGGAAGAAGAATTTTAACTGGCTTATAGATTAGTTTTGATTAGAAAAAGGAATGCATTTAAATTGAACGTTGATTAAATTTTGTCATTTGATTATTATTAAGGATGTTAATTTTACCTTTTTTTGAATTTAAAATTTACCTAATACTAAAAGGGTAAAATCCAGATGAAGGAAAGGCTTAGACTTTCAAATTTATGATATATTTTATCCAAATTTAAATTATTTCGCTACTTTTTCCCAATTTCTTCAGGAGGGTATTTCCAAAAAGTGTTTGTTAATTTCCGAACCATTTAAACTTAATTCGCCTGCATTTATTCAGCCATCAAGTGGGCGCCTCTCTGTGGGCTCAGAAAAACATGCAAACAAATGCGCATCCCAGGAGGATTTCCCATGCTTAATGGCACCATAATTCAATGGGAACCTATTGAATCACAGCAAATTAACATGCATATATAGCTGAGCTGGGCGATGCGATGCGATCGGATGTGATGGAGAAGCTCGTGCCGAGCCCACAAGGACACATGTCGCCCCATGGTGAATCCCCCGACCAGCCTTTGAAACAGAACAGGACTCTTGTGCCGTTTGGCATACGAAATAAGCACAAACAAATTCGATAACAAATGGTTTGGAATCGAGAAAACAACAATGCAGGGGATATATATAATATATTTATAAAGGGGGACCGGGAAAAAAAGCGAAGGACGCTGGCGAATTTAGGAACAAATGACATATTGTCAGGGGCAGAGAAAAAAGCCAGGAGTGTGGGGAACACAGCATATGGTTAGTCCGATGTGACTTTCTGTACGTTTGTTTGTTTTTGTTTAACGTAAATATAAAATTTATTATCCAGCGGAGCGCATAAATTAGCCAAACAAGAAATCAGAAGCAGACGCAAATTGAGACCAAAGAACCCCACATCCCACTCAGTTCGACTTGATGATGATAACAAATGAAATCAAACGAGTGGAATACTGGATATGGGAATCATTTAGTGAATATAGGGTGAAGCTGGGAGACCTCAGATAGAGCATCATCAATTGTCGAGGGTTCAATATTTGAATTAATGAACTATCACATGCGGTTCTCTATTTACGAAAAGCTAAAGCAATTAAGCTGTCTGTTTGATGAATTTAAATGTGTTATATGCGAGTAGAAGATAACTTTTTTCACAGAAAGGGAAGAAGAATCAAATTACTAAACTCTATTCAACAATGTTTCTTATTTTTCACTATTTCAGAATAAGTTTTTAAGTCTAATGTATAATCATTAAGGTACTTATCTTTGTTGATACTCCCTAACCTATAGCCTTAATCAAATATTGGATCTTAATTGGTCCTCGGGGTATTTCATTACATTAGGTCCACACTTAACCATAAACAGGCTAATTAGTTGTCTTGCCGTTGACGCACACAAGTGTTAATTTTCCCAAAACAAAACACACACTCACATTCGGTTAATTAACACATTTTCGCAGTTTTCACACTTTTCGCAGCTTTTTCCGGGCTACATAAAATGTTCTCAGTAGGACCACACAAAAGCGGGCAAAGAGCATGCAAAACCTGGGGGCAACGTGGCTTTCGATGTGTTCCGACCATAACTTTTGCGGCCCAAAGTCGCTGCCAAGGCTAAGGACCTTCGTGTATGCAAAGTCCCCTTGGAAAAAGAAAAAAATAAAAAAGCTGCAAATTCCCTAGCAAAATCCATGGCAACATGACCAGCAGCAGGCAGCGGTAACGAAAAGTTTTTGGACAAACCCGGCCGAAAACTTTCAAGATTCACAACTGCAACACTTGCAGTGTGTTGAAAGTGCACGCACACTCGCCTAAATCCCGCACACAGATACTCCACACACATACCCATTGTGCACATCCTGCATATCCTGCCTGTTTACCAAATGAGTTTTGTGCTAGTTTGTTTAATGCCTTGGGCCGCAAAATTTATGATGACAGTAGTGGGTTTGGTGGCTCTGGGTGCTGGATGCTGGGAATGGAGTCCTATCTATCCGGAGAGTTTCTTGGTGTAATGGACAGATAACTGTTGCCTAATTGTTCTGACATTCATATGAAGCGAGGGGTGCAGTCATAAAAGTTTCATTCTATTTAATTCGTTCTCGATTCGTGTGGTTTTATTTTACTCTGATGGTTTTTAGGCTATTTTCTTTGGGAAAATCCATTTGGAAACTCAATTAGAAGGTGACCTTTGGTGTATAAACTAAATAAAAGTTTAAACTAAATGGTGTCATATATTTTTTATAAATTTTATCATTTGGTTTTAATTGAAGAAGACAAAAAGAAACCTTTAGTTTAGGAACCTTCATGCAATTCAAACACAACTTTATTTCATTCATAGATTTTTCAATGTAATAACCAAGGATTATTAGAAATTATAAATAGGAAACTAATTTCTTTTTTTTCAGCCTGCATTACACAATTGTTTTTCCACTTGCTTGTATTCTGATTGAATATTACAAATTTCCTCAAAAATACGTGTAACAAATTCATAAAAATGTAATTTAATTTCGCAATCGAAATTACAATTCAATTTGGAATGCCATAAGCAGCATGTGTTAGTTTATAGAGCTCTCTCATTGAAGCTCTGATTTGGCATTCCAATGCCCGTGGGATGCTGAGTGGTGCACCTGTTGCCCGGGCAACGGTGCCACCGAATTATGTTGGTCGGTGGCAAAAATATTTCAGCACTCGCGGGGCATAAATTCCATTTCATTTAGCCGTTAATTCAATTTTATTTGTCACATTCTGCATGTGCCATCCACGTCCGCGGTGGTCCTAAAGGCCGGGGATCATTTGGGGGCGACACAATTATTGAATGCAGCCGCGTAAATTAACCCAGAAACGTTTTCGTGCATGAAATGCCAAAAATTTAACTAAAATTATGCACCTTTGTGAGTTTGGGGAAAAAGGAAAGACACGAGCAAAAAAAGCCACTGAAACGAGCGGCCTTTTGAATGGGATTTTCCAACTTCCACCTCCCGGGCTGGAATGCATAAAACGCTGATTGCAGCGTGCTTCACCCTATTTTACATCCCCTCTCTTTTTTTCCCACCGAACGTGACTGAGTTTACACGCAAATAAATACAAAACTTTGGTAAGAGCACAGCTACGGGATTCGAGAAAAACGGCTGCATGGGGTTAAGCAGCTAAGCAAAAAAAAGGCCAAAGATGTGCAAGTGCTGGAATACAAATATGAAATGCGGCTGCCGAAACAAAAATGCTATTTATTTGCCAGTCCTATGGAAAAAAAAGAACTACAAAAATAACTTTTATCACGCGCCTGAAGTGCAAAAAAAGGGAAAGGGAGATAGGGGCCGCCAGGTGGCGCTAGTCAGTGAGTGGCAAAACGGAACCGGAAATGCCGCCGCTGTCAGCAAGGCCTGTTTAAAAACGAAGGAAAGTCACAGCTGCCATCGCGTTATCTGCATTTCTGCATCCCCTTCCTCTCCGCATTATGCATGAAATATTCTCTATGTTGTTCGCTGTTTTTCCTGCTACTCAGCACGGAGGCCAAGGTGAGATAAATCGGGATTACTCTAAAAAAATAGGAGAGGATGTTTCATAATTTCAAAGCAGAACTTTGCATATCCAAAAGAAGGTTGCCATAAAGCATTTGAATTCATCGTCGAATTCCATGGTTTCTTTAAAGTTTATGAACTATCCTAACCATAGTAACAACATTTGCAAGCATTTTTTAAATAAAGGAAATATGTTGATGTTGGTAAACAAATATTTTACTTCTTCAGTCTCACTGAGCTCTCCAAATAGATTTCCTTTTAAATAGTCATCAAATTAGAAAAATCTTCCTTGGAGCATACTGCAAATGGAATAAATGGTAATTCAAAGTCATAACCCTTTGAGTGCCGTTTAAATGTGAGCTCGGGTCATTTGATATCATCGCAGAGCAGAAGAGCTCAAAGTCGGAAACCAATCCTTTGACAAAAGGCCAACGCTTAGCTGCAAAGTCAAAAGTCCGGCATTAGTGCAAGCTGATTAATCACATTTGAAAGGCTTACATTTATGGCAGATGTGGGTACAAACGTATGAACGAGTTTGTACGAGGACAGAGGGGGCGGAAAACACATGCAAATGTCACATTAGCCTTATACTTTAATTAATTTCTAATCCCAACTCATTGAAGGCGACTGCAATTAGATGACGATGGCGATGCTTGTAGGCTGGCAAGGATTACAAGGATATAACCATTTCGCCCCAACATTTGTCAAACCCTGCGCCAGCCAAAGGATATCAATTTGTGCATGTAAGTGTGAAGTACGGACACGGCCGCCCATCAACTACAAATTAGACATACGAAATTTAATCGTCAATGCGAATTTCAGGGGCTTTAGGCAGGGGAAGGGGCCACATAATTAAGCTGCAACTTTGTGGGGATTATCCAATGCGAATTCCACATAACCATACCGCAAGCTTTTAACATTAAATGCGATGAACTATTTGGGCAAGTTGGTAATCCAACATTGCGGTGGGGCAAATAGTTTAAGGGTCTAATAAATGTGGTTTTGGTTTGCAAATATGATGGGAATTAGTATGAATGTGAAGGGTATTCATTAAAAAACATATTAATACTGTTTTTTGTTGATTTAAAAGTGTTTTCAGGGATGCGAAGTTTGAAATACAAAAGATTAGAATAAAAATATTACATTAACTCTACATTTTAACTCATTTCAATCTACAACCTTATCCCTTAAGCCTAAGTCCTTAATTCCAATCTAAGAAATTGCCATTTGAAACGTAATAAATTATATATCAGAAATAGCCAAAAGCACAACAAGTTAAGAAAGCCGTACAACAAAATCTGAGATTTCTTGCATAGCTAAATGTGCAAAATGTGTTAACAAACTGCCACGCCCACCGATTCGTAGGCACTTTGATTTGTGCGTAGGGCAATTTATTTGCCACAGAAGCTGCCTTCCACGCCCCCCAGCATCTGCTAACCTCGCCCTTCGTTTTCATCTTCCTCTTCCTGCTTTCCTTCGGGAGGCACTTTACACTCAAATTGTGTTAATTTGCATATTGGAAACTTTTGCCTAATTGAACATAATGCCACTTAATTAAAGTTAAGACAAGTTTTTGACGGTAAAATGGTTTTGTGCCCACGGGGGCAGAGGGGATGTCTTGGCAACTAAAAGTATGGCTATACATTTATGGCAGTTTGTTGTTGAAATTTACGGCAATTAGTTTAATATGAGCAGATTATGAGGGACACAGGACGCAATAAAATCCCTTTTCGGCACTGGGAAATTAATTTTTGGGGGCGTCCCCGAATAAGCACAGACACTGAAACATATGGAAATCAATTAGCACTTGGGAGTCAGAGTCCTGGTCTTAAATGTTTAATGACCCCCTTTGCTGTTTGTGTTTTGCTGTCTAATTGTTAGCTGGTTAAATATTTATTAACAATTAGTATGGACTGGAAACGCGAGATGGTAAAGGGGAAAAATCATAACTAGTTCACTTTAAGGGAAAAGTTTCATGATGATTGTTTTTAAATGTTTATTTATTTAGTTTGATATATATCATTACTTTTAGATATTTTCGTATTTATATTATTAGATCCTTAGTAATCTTCAACGATTAAAGCTGTTCCAGCCAGGAGAATCTGCTCTGAGGTGCCCGTTACATTATCAACATTTAGATGGCAAATCAACTTGTCCCGAGAGCTCCGAGAATATAAGGGCAATTTGGGATTCGTTTCGTTCTTTTGTTTAGGATATAACGAATTTTTACCATATTTTGAAGGGTTGGTAGTAGATTGACTAGCCTCTTCCTTTATCTTGTAGCTGATGTAAAAGGGGTTCGATTTATCCATTCCACTTTTGGCGCCATCAATCTGCAATAGAAGAGGTTTGAATGATGATTAAAATAAAATATCAAACCGTGCAATATTCTTTATCTTAAAGGATTGTATCAAAAATTGTAAATAATAGATTTAAAAAGTGATTTTTAATTAAATTAAAGTGCCTTTTAATTCTAGCTAACTTAGCTAGTACACCCACATACATCACAGAGTAATTCACCACCTAAGCCCAGTACAACACCCGCACACAGTTTACACTGAACTTTACAGTATCAAAGTTTTACACCTCCTAGCAAATTCACCAACCGGTCGTATCGATATAAATAGGTTTCGGTACCACCTCTAATGATACCCCTCCTCCAACGATATACGATAGCTAGTGCCGGAATGTCAATCAAATGAAAACAAAAAAAAGCGGCGTGAGAAAACTGAAAAGAACGGCCAGACAGCGAATATTTGCTCGTTAATTGCGATGCATTGCACTGAGACGGTGGAAAGAAAGCCGGAGGTGCCGGACTATGGACACGCAAACATGGAGACGGCGATGGAGACGCACTTTATGGCCAAAATGGGGAAGGTGAGACAAAGACTCTACGAGGGAGGCGGGGTGAAATCAATCTTGGTCGCAGAGGCCGCAGATGTAGGACCCAAGTTGAATATTAAGATTTCTAAGAAGTTACATGAAACCAGATCATAAGGATTCTAATTAAACTTTATATATAAACCAGACAAAATCAAAAAACTGGTTAGGAAATTATACAAACAATTTGTTTGTTTTAACATCTTAAAAAAAATTGTTTTACTCACCTTCAAAGGCGCCAGCTTTAGTATTACATCTGAGGAATCTGCATCCGAATTTAATGGCCCACAAGTCCGCAGCTCTAACCTTTCGGTGGAAACAGCCAACTTTCGTGATTGCAGCAATTTCAAACAGGCCAGAAGGTTTTCACAGTTAAAGACCTGGACGAGGTTGATTTCCTCTCCAAATTCCAGATTCCGTTGCTCCCGAAATCGCAGTTCGGCAGCTTGAGCTCGAATAATGAGGGCTCTTAAAAAGTCCACGGCACTGTTACTGCCAGGTCCGCTCCATAGCTTCAACCAACTGGCTGGGATCTAGAAATAAATTAAACTAGTCAAAAAAAATATAATTTATATATAAAAAGTCGCTACCTGCTGCTCTGCCAGAGCTCTCAGAGAATTGCCATCCACGTCCTGTGAGTCCTTGAGCCAAGCATGCATTTGGGATAAGGTCTGGTGAACAGTGCCGTATAGGTCAGCACCAACTTTCAGTTCAGCCAGCACAAAAAGTGACCAAGGGGATTCCCCAGAATTGGCTTTCACCTCCTTAGCTGTTTGAATTATGGTACACGACCCAGCTAATTTCCTCCACAGATTTAATAGAGGTTTAATTTGCTGCTCCAACTTTTGGCGATCAGTTAGCTGATCACTTCCCCTAGATTTTCCTGTACCACCCGAACCTCCAGCTGATACCCTACCATAGTGCAATCCCCTTAGTTCCTTTATCACTTTTTTAGCCTGTTCAATCTCACGTTGTTGTTGTGCCTGATTGGCCAAACCATACATACTGGGTTCGTCGTGTTCAGGAAGCTTTTCCAATGTGGCATAATAGTCCTGCAGTTGACTACTAGTCGGTATGGATAGGGAGAGTCCTAAAGGAGACCAGCGACTGCTTAAAACATCTGCTGAGCAGAATTGATTTAGATAGATTCTGAGTATCTCCAAGTCCCTTAGGTTATTGACTCTTCCACCAAAAGCCAGAGCTTCACTTAGACGTTGTAAAAGCAGCCAATCGCATTTTCCAGAATTTAATTGCTGGTCCAACCACTTAAGGATACCCATTGCCGCCTTTAGATCCGCTTCACCAAATTCATAGTATTTGGACCAGCCTTGCGGTATGAATTGACGCCTTTGTTGGAGTACAGCGGTTAGGATAAAGTAAACCAGTCTCATCTTGAGACTCTTTGGTTGGTTTTTGAAGCTCTGATCCTGTTCAGCTGCGTAGTTCTGAAGCAAACGCAACACAATTAGCTTGAGTCCTTTGGGCTGTTCATATCGTACTTTCAGGCACTTAAAAACGGCAGCCTCGGAAAATCCTTCAGTAGACTCACACAACAGCCACAATCGAAAGTCCTTGGACTTTTTAATTTCACTCAGTTCCCTTTCTATTTGAGTTAGGAATTGCGGCACCAAATGGACATTCTTCACACACAACCAGTGACCATCAATGGCAGCCTGTCGCATTTCCGCGAGAACTCGCTTCTCTGCGCCCTTACCAATGGCCATTTCTTTGTACTTTTGATTGGCCCACTTTCTCAGTTCGGTTGTGGGATCATTTTCTGCCTGACTAATCATCAGAATAGGTCGATCGCAGCTGCTCTGTTGCAGCAACTGCTCCACAGAAGGCTGTGTGGATGCATCTGAAGAAATTCCCAGTAGATCACTGCTCACTTTTCTCAGTTGATGGAGCATCAAGTCGGGTCGAAAAATTTGGGCAATAAGCACACGTTGAAAACTGGATCCCAAGGTAGCTGTAAGTTTGTAAAAATTTTGTTTAATGGGAAGTTATTAACTAAATCGTTTCTCCAACTTACGCAGGATATCATCCGATTGAGCCTCAATGAATCCCCGCCAAATATAGTCCTTTTCCAACTGGAGTTTGCTTCGTAAATCCGGGAACAATTGTACCAGCATGGCCAGTTTTAATTGTGCCTCCTTGGGCATGCAATCGGGTAGTCTTCCCAGCTGGCTCAAAATCATACTGCCATCTGAACTACCCATGAAATTGTTCACAAACAACTCCCACTCTTTGGGGTTGAGTCTATCGGGATATGCCTGATGACAAACCCACAAGGATAATGATAACTGACCATCTCTGGAAGTAGCTCTTGCTAAATTCATGTAAACACTTCTCACTAGTAATTCGTAGACCTTAGACTCCTCTCGCTGATTCTTGGAAAGAGCTCCCAAAAATAATTCTATGTAAACTAAGGCCGATAGTTCATAACCCTGTATTAGACCTGCATAAAATGCGGAGGCCTTCGAGCAAAGTTCCCGAAGAGAACCGAATTCGGCAAGTAGAGTATCCTTTATATGGCCACTTTGCTTAAGGGCCTCATCTATTTGGGCGCTGCTTTGCTTAACCTCATTTAAGCTGGCCAAAAGTTTCTCATTTCGGAGGATATCTCCTTCTGATTTAGAAAGTTCCTCCAAGAGCTTATCTTGCATGTCCATTCGCTTCTTAAGAAGATCTCCCTCCTTTTGTAGGAGCTCTATCCTCTGCTGCTCCAACTCGGCATTTTTCAACACAATCGCCTTGGACATTAATTGATCGGCTAATCCAGCTGCTGTTACCGTAAATCTCAGAAGATTAAGTTGACTTCTCTGCTCTTCAGGTAAATCCAAACGATGGGATTTACTTATCAATACCAATTGGAAACTCTCATGAAGATCCACCAACTTTGTGCCAATAGCTAATTGTCGCTTGTTAAATCTTACATAAATATGACCCTGGAGTAGTTGCAGGATAGGGGGACGCAGTTGCTCGCAGTCTGTCACCAGAAGAGTCTTTCCAAACCGAACTGCTAGTTCTAACTGATAGGATAGCCTCTCGTTACCGTGGGTGGTTAACTCGCAGGGTTTTCCGTTTCCTTTGAGATGGGCCATTAACCACTCGGCTGCTGTCTGTGTGGGATCCAAAAGCAGAGGAATAGGACATGCTCCATAGGGTAGGGATAGCATTTCTCTGAGAAGAGCAGCACTTTCAATGATTTGTGCATCTCGGGCCAAGCCCTGGCTCTCCCAAATAATCTGCTGTTGCTCCGTGAGCAGGGATCCCCGAAGATCGAAGTTGGAGGACAGATGAAAGTCTGCCGCCAGACGTTTGATTGAGGAGCTGTAAGTTTGATATAATTAGATCTACAAATACGAGAGCACTTCCCTCTTAACTCACCTTCTCTCTTCCAGGCCCAATCCGGCATAGTAGTTAACAGCCATGGCTATCAAAAGAGTCTTTGCATCCAGTGTTTTGTGTGCTTTTTTAAGCTCCGCCAACTGTCCACTCCAGGTAGCATATTCTGCACTTAGTTTTCCGACCAAAAGTTCTGCAGCCTGCAAGGTTCCACTGGCCTCCTGGAGTCTTAGCTCCAAAACAGCTGCTTCTTGGGTATAAGTTTGTAGTTTGGTCGATAGCTGCTTAACCCTTTTATCCACGTCGTCCAATCCACTGGCCAACTCCTGCATTTCGTCTTCGGCTGCATTCAGATTTTTCTGCAATTCATTCTGTTCCCTTTCGAGGGGCTTGATACTCTGGATCACTCTGGAATATCGAACACTAGCCTGCACCCAAGCAGCAAGGGGAGCAGCTGCTGCTGAAGCACGCTTGGCGTTTTTGGACTCGTAGGAATCACCTTTTGCCAGGAGTAATCTTTCAACGGCTTCGCAATTTTCCGGGCTAATCCGAGCTGGATCCAAAGATCTTATATCCTCTTTAACGCCCCTTTTGGCCAGAAATGTTTTCATGCTGTTCCAGGATGTATCTCGTATGCCCATTAATCGAAGCACACCTTCCAGAATATCCCGAACAGTCTCTGGAGGAGCACGTAACGATCTGATTTCGGATAGAGCTTCCGATTTTATTTGGCCCACTGCATTACTGGCCTCGGCCAGTATTGGTTCCACTTCTGCCAATTCCTGTTGGATTTCCTTTTGACGAACCTTCAATTGTTCGCTGCTCTTTTGAGTTTGTTGTTTCAGTTCCAACATACTAGACTTCTGTTCATTGGCATTTCTCATTGTTGACGAAATCATTTCCAGAGCTTCGTTGGCCAATTGTCGCTTTTCACCCAATGCCTGCTCCTGTGCAGCTGCATTGGATTTTAGGGTATCCACCAAAGCGTGCGCCGAAGCCAGTTTATCAACACCCATTTGTAGTTTTCCCAATCTCTGATCGATTTCATTGGCTGCATTGCTGTAGATGTGGAAGTAACTACGGATAAGTTGGTAGTATCTTTGGGATGGTTCATCTGAGGGTAGTTCATCCGATATGTCTGCAAAGTGACTGCAAGCGGGCACTTTGCCACGCCCACTTCCCACGGACTCGTTAAGCAATTCTATGTATTGCTTGGGTAGAATAGCAAGGGTTTCCCTCGATTCTCCTCTCACGTAAAGTAAATCCATTTGACGATGCAAGGCAGGAAAGTTGTTGAAATACTCCTGTACTGTGGCACTATTGGGATCCAAAACGAGGATGATGTGGAGGTACTCACGGGCACCTAAAGATAGAATTAATAATACTCCTATCATAAAGCTGGGTATATAAAATACTTACGTTTCATAAAGTATGCCCCCAAAGATTCTTGATATCCCTCGAGCTGTGCCGCCTGCTTTAGGGTACTGGCCACGGTTTCAAGATCATCGCCAAAAAGCTCAAGAATTTCGCTTCCCTCTAGCAGGGCTTCAATGGGCTTCAAAATATCTGGCACATAACTCAGCCAACAATGTTCGATGAGAAGATAACTCATCTGCTGTTCCAAGGCAGCCGTTTGCATGGCCACCTTAAGATCGTTATAGAATTCGGGAAGGTCGTAGGAGGGACCCCCTTGCAAAGTTATCACCTTAGCCTCCTGCAACGTAGCCGCCGTGTATATGGCGTCCAGGTGTCTTCCACCAGATTGATTCAAAATAAGCATGTGGGCATCGGTTCGTGATAGAACTCTGGTTATTCTAGCAGTGTTGTTCAGAAGTTCCTCTGTGATGGGTGCAGTTATGCTGTAGCTTTCGGCATCTTGGGGAAATCGGGGAATATTTTTAGTTTTTTTTGTTTCTTGCTTTTCCGAATAACTTTGTAATAACTTTTTAAAAATTAATAGAAACTATCCCTCCGGTATATACTATCCCCTGCCGATTAAAAACTGTCTCATGAAACATCCTTGAAGTTGACCCCTACGAATCATTTTCCTTTTCATCCACTACTAAAAAAATATTTTTTCCTGTAATACTGTAAAACTTATCAAAAAACCGATGCCCAGCGAAACTAAATGGTTCTGTGTACTTTCAGTGGATGACCCCCGAGGAAGAAGCGCGTCAAAAGTTCATCATGCGAGAGCGGGATCGCGAGCGGAAGCGGATCAAGCGCTTAAATCCCGAGTACCGGCAAATGGAACGCGAACGGGATCGGTTTCGCAAGCTGACGCCCAGGCCCAGTGTAGTTATCCCCGATTACCCCAAAAATATCACCCATCTCCTCCTCTTGTCTTGAAACTGCGGAATATCCACTAGGAAACTTCAACTGATGCGTGAGCAGAATTCGGACTTTTAAAGTTTATATTACAGTTGGTTTAAATGTGGTGTAGGAATATTTCTAAATTATAAAATATTTCTATTTTAAACATTTGTTTAAAATGTTTAAGAAAGGGGACCTTAATTTTTCATACTCACTGCAAATAGTCACTTGACGCTGAACTTCCTCAAGCCACTCGTCATGGGTTAGGCAATGCAGTTGACCCCGCGACTTTTGAGACTTAGGCACGAAAAACACTTTCTAAAAGATTCGATATCATTAGCTGAGTTTTCCTTTAGCAAATCCGAAACTAAACTTGCCTCTTTGCCGTAGTACTTGCGCATCGTTTGCTTGAGTATCGCCTCGAATTGCTGGACATGCTCTTCGCTAATCAATCTATCGCGGAACATGCCTAAAAGCTCGCAGTAGAGAGCCTGTAAGGAAAAGCACATTTTTAATCAGATTAGCCATAAACTGGGAGAAAATATTTCAGTTGAAGTGACCTTGTCTTCAAAGGAGAAATTTAAATTTTAAATATTTTTATGGAATATAAATTTGTTTTCCTTTATGAGATTTAAAATTAATTTTGAAAATTGACATTGTTTTTTTTAGGGAATTGTTTTTAAATGAACCTTCCCATTTTTTTCTCACTGTGCAAAACATACCTCAGTAAAATCATTGGCGGGGTAAAAGACGAGAGTGTCCAGCAGCTTCATGATGCATTTGGGACTGAACTGGTAGTGGGCCTGCCTGCCTCCCACGGTGGTAAAAGTCGCCTGGAGCTATAACAGGGTAAAGTCAATTAGCAGGTCCTGCGATGATGTATTCCAGGATGTGAGGTGAGGATACCAACCTTCTCGAAGCACTCCATCAGGCTTTCGCTGACGTGCTGCAAATTTACCCCGGACCCTCCTCGATTTCTCGTGCTCCTGAAGTGCTCTTCCAAAAGTGATTCCAATCGCCGCTGGACAATTTCTAGCATATCCTGGCTTGTGGGCCGGGAAACTCGCAAAAACTGATTGATGGCAAAGTAGCGCGGTGCTATTTTCCCAGGATTTCCGCTAATGGAGGCACATATTTGCAACCCACTCACCCCTATCCATTCGAGATTCTCGGCGTAAAAGCCTCCGCGTTGTGCCAACTGGAGTAGTAGTTCTACCACTTCACAAGCTCCCCAAGAATCCTGTTGGCAGAGATCCAAGTTTTTCATGAAGAGCACTAATCTGGCTTGCTTTGGACGAAACTCTCTGCCTTTGATTCCACTCACTGTGACGCAGTGCGTTTTCAATGTGTGTAAAATATAGCTAGGAGTTAGTTGGGTGGAACAGTTTATGGTAGCTAATTGATAGCCAGAGTTATCTAGCACTGCTCTTTGGATCAGTAGTGTTTTGCCAGATCCACTTGGACCAATTAACAGAAAGGGTGAGATTACATTTCCCTGCGGTTTCAGCAGGGTTTCTAGTATGTCCAAATATGATTTCATATAAGATGTTATTATTAATTGAGAGCCTTTTTCTGATACTTCCATCGCATCTACAGGATATTGTTCCAGGGAATTTTTCCGGGCATCATAATATGTTAGCTCCGCGTAGTTGAGGTTGGCTATGTAAAGATTGGCGCGCTTTAGTATCAGTTGGGCAAACTCTTTCTGCAGAGCGTTGGGTATGTAACCAAATAGAGCACGAAGAGTCGCTGCTCCATATTCCTCTAGAGATTGGGAACCACGGAGTTGTAATAACAAGGAACGCAGGAGATGGACACGATTTATACCGGGTAGATGACTGAAGGAAATTACGTTTTACAATTTTTGAATTTTATTTTTAGAAATACTAGCAACTTTACCTTAACAAAAGTTGACTTTCGAGCCAATCCACGGCATATTGAAAATTGCCATCTACGTAATTCTGCAACAGATCACCATAGGGTTCCTTTGACAGCTCATGTTTAAGTATCTCCTCAGCTGGATAGTAGTCATAGCTATTTTAATTGGGTAGTATGTAATAGTGTCCGTGATTATTAATTTAAACTCACCTCATGTTGACAATCCCCATCCTAGAAATTGTTGCCGGTGAGGCGTGCCTCAAATCGTCTGTTTCGAAAATAAAGTTGACGTTACTTCCGAATTGAATCCTCCAGCCCGATGGCAAAGTTAAGAGCCTGCAAGAAATCACATTTTATTATACGAAAAGATATTCTGTATTCAAGACAAGATGGAAGGAGAACATACTACCGCATAAGACCACGTTTAGCCACACAAGAACACTGCCCGAGATTCAGATTCAGATCGAGACACGACCCATTCTGCTGACTGCCGTTTGCCAACCAACCACTCTCTCTGTAATTTCAGCTGATGACCCCCGAGGAGGAGGCCCGCCACAAGTTCATCATGCGTGAGCGGGATCGCGAGAGGAAGCGGATCAAGCGCCTCAATCCCGAGTACCGGCGAATGGAACGCGAGCGCGATAGATTTCGCAAGAAGGCACGACGTGCTAACGTAGCATTTTTCCAATATTCTATTATTTATAAACATTATCCCACACTCGTACACTTGAATCACACGACACACACACATACTCACATGGCTTGAGAGAATAGGGGGTAGGGGTTTAGAAGATCCCGGGACCGTTGACACTTCTTGAACCCTCCGAACCAGACAAACCCCCACAGTTTTTATGGCCCAAAACACTGTGCTTTAATATGTTTCCCCCCTTCTTTATCTCTCTCCGATTGCAGTTGACTCCCGAGGAGGAACTGCGACTGAAAATGATCCAAAGAGAGCGGGATCGAGAAAGAAAACGGATCAAGCGAATGAATCCTGAATACCGGAGGCTGGAACAGGAACGTGATAGGGACAGAAAAAAGGCGAGAAGAGCCAATGAAGCATTCAGGCAGCTGGAAAAGCTGAGAGATAAGATCCGAAAAGATCGTAAGAAAGGCTTACTGCTTACGGACCCGTCACAGTTGCCGCCAGACTTTGCAGCCATGATACCGCCAGTGCCTGTGGTGAAGCCCGAGTTAGGAGTGCCACCAGCCCCGCCGCAAGGTCAGCAGCCCACGCCACAGCTGCAGCAACAACAGCAGTTGCAGCAACATCAGCAGGTGCCACAGCAACAGCAGCAGCATCATCAGCCTCCGCCTACGCATCTGCAGGAGCAGCAGTTGAGTCACCAGCTTGCGCATCAGCGGAACCGAATGATGTCCAGCCAACTAACACAGCTTGCCACGCCCCCCGCCCATGCCTCACACCTGCAGCAGCTAAATAAGTTGCAGCAACTCTACCCGCCCAGGAGTTTCGGCCATCCCGGATTGCCAATCGCTGGGGTGACGCTGATGCCCCAGCTGTGTCATCCCATTCTGCATCAGAACCTTAGTGCCACTTTGTATGCGGGTCCACCGAATGGCATAAAGCAGGAATATGGCCAGGACATCTCCGCCTCAGCGATGGCGGCAGCTCAGGCGGCGGCACTGGCATCGCTAAGGAATCCCCCCAGCAGCAGCAACAGGATGACTCTGATATGGTGATTAATCTCGAGCCAGAGGTCGTACTGCAAACTAGACCCGATGTGAATCCCGCCCAGCCACCGCCGCAACAGCAGCATCATTTCAGTGCCCACCAGCAGCATCAACAGCAGCAGCAACAGCAGCATCATCTTCAGCAACAACAGCATTGTAACATGTTCCAGCATATGGCTCCCCAAGCACATATGCAACATATGCGATCCCTGCCACCGCCGCCTCCGCCCTCGCTAACATTACCGCCACTGCCGCCCCCGCCACCTGCAACACACCAGCATCAGCAACAGCAACCTGCGCCGCCACAGCAACTGCAACTTGCCCCGCAGTTAAATATTCTTGCCTGTAGTCCTAAGCTCAACTCTCTAGCCAGCTAAACGCATACGAAAGTTTGAGGGCACACACGCCTGGAGTTGTGATCTGATTATTTATGTGATTTTCAAATCCCTTAAACCGTATTGCATTGCCGCAAATGCTCGAGCACAAAATGATATCCAACAAGTATTCATGGAGAAAAAGAATGCTAGCTACGTATTAGAAAACATAACTCTACTTGGCAAGTTCATACTATCTCCTTATAAGGCTTATATTTATGTTTAGGTTAAATTCTGTTTTCGAAAAGCTTTTAGTTTTTTTTGTCTATATGATGATGTCATTCTAATGTTGTGAGTCCCTCTTGCTTTAAGCAGTTTAAAAATGAAAGTATTTTCATTAAACCTTTTTTCGTATTTTGTTTGTTAAAGATTATTTAAGGCCACATTTCCTTTTATTACCATAACAAATTAACAACGAGAAAAAATACCAGTAACTTTGTAATGAAAAGACTTTGTGATAAAGTGCCCCCACCCTAAAGCTATATAAACCTAAACTATTATGTCAACTATCCTGTAGTATTCACAACTCTCAAGGATGTGTGCCAACATCTTAAACGCACACACTCGCACTGAAAAAACACCCATGTTTTTTTTTTATGTATTTTAAGAAAACGCCATTTGAAAAATGCCGATACGTATTATGTTGCGTTACGCAAACCACATTACGTTACTTTAGTGGGCTTCCCCGTCATAATTTGTTTATGTCGTCAACCTTCAAGCATTTCTTTGTTTTCTAGATCTGTACGTATTTTAGCAGCTAAGTGATAGATGATACAATATATGCTAGATTAGGATACGATATCTACAATACGATATAACGATAACTGTATACCTATACGATATAATGATATAGTATGGCCGGCCGCGAAATAATTATTACGAATTTATGCGCAAAAACAAGCGAAATATAAGCAGCAAAACGAGTTTTGCTAAAAATTAAAAAGAGCGTATTTATGAAACTTGTTATCGGAAAAGTTAGTATGACTTACTTGTTATCGTCTAGAACCGAGTTGAGTGCCTCTATCCATTCTGGATCGATGCTTCCGTCGCACACGATCCACGAGTGGATTTGCGATGGCTCTTGATTGACTGCCACCGCTGTGTGGGTGAGTACACCGTCCTGCCATTGACGAGTATCGGCATCCAGACGTCCCAGCAATTGAATCCGACTCATGGACTTCGGACTGATGGTGTGCACTTTTAGTTGGGATCCACTCAGAGCTTGTTTAAGGAGCGCCATGATAGTGGACTTTCCACATCCTGGTGGTCCCACTAATACCACTCCCATCCGTTTTTGAAGCTGTTCGTGCAGTTGCAAAGCCTTTTCAATTTGCCTCTCACTTCGACAGAGTCCCAGTTGCGCAAAAGCGGCGGATAGAGATTGATGGAGCAGAGTTTCTGGCGCGGGTGAGCTGCCAATCTCGGGGAAAACATTTCGGAGCAGCATCTCAAATCGAGTGACATCGTGGGGGGCCAGCTTGGACATGGTGGATGAACGCAAACAGCGAACCACCACCGACATCTCCTCGTTAGCAGTAGTCTGGTTGTTTTCCTCACTGGTTAATTGTCCCCTCAAACCCTCCCCGCATACCAGCAGTACAGTCTTCAGTTCCCGAAGTCCCCAATCGTAATGCCTCTGGGCAGATAGCATCTTGCCACACAAATCGAACAGCTCTACAATGCGGGATGCAATGGCAGAGGCCTCGGAAAAACCTTCGACGAAGAGCATAACCCGGGCGATTTCCCCAGGCTCCGGCTGCTGCATCACAATGGGTCGGAATAGGGCCTGGATGTTGCCGGGAAGCTTTTGGCGACCACCGTACTCGCCTCCGGCCGGATTCAGGGTTACAAAGATGCCGCAGTGTTGATTAAGCTGGACCTGTATTATAGTTTTCAAATATTATATTTTCTTGTGTTGTGTTTCGCTTTGAATATTCTGTATGTGTGCGAGGATTCTCTAAATCAACCCAATGCACCTGTTAGCAAACCCTACCAATCAAGCCATAATTCCTGCCACAAGAACGTCAACCAATAACTCATCCTGCTCACCTGTCGTTCACCAATCTGGACGCTATTGGCTCTTTCCTTCAGGGCGCTCTGGATGGGTTGAATCAGCATGGAGATGGACGAAAGAGTGGCCTCCTGTAGTCGGTTGAACTCGTCAAAGCAGCCCCATGCCCCGCAGCGTGCCAAGCCAGTGAGGATGAGGCTCATCGATTCGGCGTCCACATTCTGCAAACAATCCATAGCATAATGATGTATAGCAAGAGAATTATCATGCACTCAGGAAAAATAGGGGTATTTGTATGGGGAGACTTTAAAATTGTTTTAACAACACCACATTATTTTTTAATTTCATCAAGTTTTTGAGATAATAATTTGTAGTACATTCTTAAGTTCAATTTGAAAACTTCAGAAAAAATATATAGGGATTCTTCTGAAAAGTCTACCCTCACTCACCTCGTCGCAATTGAAAACCAACACCAAACGACCCAGCATGGCCCCCAAGGCCTTGACGCACTCCGTCTTCCCCGTGCCAGCCGGGCCAAAGGGATTACCGCCCAGGCCCATGTGCATAGCCTGCGTGAGGATGAGATAGCAACGGTGGGTGAGCCGCGTGTGCACCAACTTGCTGGCCTGGCCTAGAAACTCGTAGGCGTATTCGAATTCGGCATAAACCATGCGGACGCAAACTTGTCGATTGGTATTAACTCCGCCCGATGTGCCACCCATTTTCCCAAGGTAATATCTGAGTTGACACAGCCAGTGCCAATCGCTGGTGTGGACCACATTGTGTTTCTGAAGCTGCTCCACCACCCCGGAGTAGTGTACTAAGTCCAGAAGAAGGGCTCTTAGTTTGAGGCTGATCAGCGTTCCGTTTTGGGATTTGTGTTTCAGGGCAGCCAGGTGGGTGATTTCATCCTTTAGCTGCTGCTGCAGTTTTCCCAACGTCATGCCACCAATGGCCTGTTCCGCCTGGCGAGTGAAGTGAAGCGCCCTGGATGTGGCCAACACCTGGCTGGCATAGGTCTTAAGGATGTTCTCCCCAAGGTTATCACTTCCGCCGGTGGTGTTGGTGTAGCACTCGTAAATTTGATCACGCAGAGTATCCTGCACTACTGCCACTAAATGATTTAGCCACCTCTGCAAATAATTTACATAAGTATTTAAATTTTATAGTTTTCGGACAAGTAACTCACCTCGATGTCGCCCTTCATCTCCACGGGCTGGTTTAGCTTGAGCTCATCGCCTTCGGCACTGTGCACGGATATAATGCTGTACTGATTAATATCGGAGGTAGGATTAGAAGCCACCTGCCGGATGCTCAGGCTTTGGCAGCCGGGGAACAGTTTACGGATATGCCTTTGGATGACATCTGCATCCTTGCTGGCCTGTCCAAGCAGCTCGAGTAGATCATCATCGCCCAGGAAGTAGAAGCGGGGGAAGGAGTTGCGTTTATCCTGCGGAAGGGAAATATATCCTGATTAAGTGTACAATTGGTTTGATTGCTTAAGCCACTCACGGTTATGTAGCTCATCAGGTTTTGCTGGCACCTGGCCAATTGGGTCTCCAGTGCATTGACGATGGTGGTAATGTTATTAATCTTTGTCAGAGAAGTGACTCGCGGGTCCATTTCGATTTCCCGCATCACGAAACGAAAGTCTTTGTCGATGCGCTTAAATAGTGCCTGTTCCTGTTGCAGGGTTCCAGATCCAAAGACTGGCTCTAAGTACACCCAACTGGAAAATATTCGTGTTTTATTGAATACTAATAGGTATTAACTTAACATAACTTTAAATTCTGTACTCACCGTCTTTGGGAATGATTTAAGCTACTTAGAAGTGCATCTAATGTGTTTAAACGACTCTCCCAAAGCTCAGCCTGATCAGAAAAGCTATCGAAAGCAGCGGAGTTCTTGGCGGATTGCAACAGGGACTGATTATCCCCTATCTTGTTCAGCACCTCCTGGTAGTCCTTGATCAGGGAAACACTCTGGCCAGAAGCATCCGTTCTAGTGATCAATTTCAATTGGGCCGTGACTGACCACTGATCGAGTTCCACCAGTGCCTGTCGCACAATTTGTTCACTAGAAGCTTGTCTGACTATACTGCTGATCTCTTGAGCAGCCGATTGAAGGACATCGAAATCCTGTAAGATATCCTGAAGGAGAATAGAATGCAGTGGCTTGGGATCCTTGTGTTTAAGAAGCTGAAATATCCTAGCCCAGTGGCGTTCACTCAAAGAATCCGATTGAAGTTGTTGAAGAATTGGCAATGCCGACTGAATGCGCTCCACCTGCTGCCGGATTCTTTTGGAGGGCAAATCAATCGAGGCATGAACGGAACTCTCCCACTTGCCAATAAACTCATTCAGGACATAAGGACGTCGCCTGTAAATGGCCCATTCCTCCTGAAGAATTGGCTGCAGTTCAGTGAGAAAACTATCATAGACCTGCCATTGCAGTGATTGCTGCTCCATTTGCTCATCTATTTCTATGAAGGGATTAAGCATTTCTGATGGGAATTCCATGTTAAACTTGGAGCACTCCTCCAGCAAACTCTTCTTTTTCTCCTGCAGTTGTTTCCAGTGCTGTCTGCGTTCCTTGAAGACCTCCAAAGTAGAATTCTCATTGGCCTCCAGTTCAGATATTGTGGATTCCCATCTGAGCAAAAATTTTTCTGCTTCGTTTTTGAGATTTTGCAATTGCGTCTCGGCCTGATTTTTGATTATGTCTACTTGTCGTTGGAGAATCACAGCATGATTATCCAGAAGAGGGTGCAGTTGTTCCCATTGTTGCACGATTCCGGTGAGAGCGGTGACCCTTTCCTTGCACCAACCTGCCAGACAGGCATCCTTTTCCCTTACCGCCTCCAAAGTTTTCTCGATATGCGGTAGCTCACTCATTATCTTTTCGTACTTCATTCCCGATTGGCTAATGCTGCCCTCATCCATGGGCACGTTTTGAAGAAACTGCAGGGCGCTCTGCAGGAATTCCTGGATTGAACTCACATCCGTCAGGATAGCTGTTCTCAAACTATTCGCCAGAGACTCCCAATAACGTCTGCTGATGTATTCGATATCAGATCTCAAAGGCAGCACATTGATCACAATGCAATCGATGGATTCCTCCGCCTGCTGCAGCTTTGCAAATTGTTGACTGAAGTGCTTGCAGGACCTAAAATTGCGATCCCAATCATCGGCTTCATTAAGGTGAATTCCGCAAAGCTGCTCGACGTCCACACAACCCAAGGCGATCCATGGCAACCAAATGGTTTTGAAATCCTCCAGTTTGTCAAACAATTCAGTTGCTCTTTGATATAAGGGTCCAAAATGATTACGGTTCACAGTGACCATGGACTTGAAGAGTTCCTGACTGTGTTCCGATAATCCATGGAAATTACAAGGTCTCTCAATAAAGCGTCTCAGCTGACTGAAGTACAAATCACGAATTTCCTCTTCCGGCGGACTAAACACAAGTTCTCTCTGGCGCAGAATCAGCTTTACATGTATATCCGGTAGTTTGTTGTTCATATCGAGTAAACCAAGAATATATTGATATTCCAGAACTTTGTACAGCTGGTGATCCCAGTGCAGCTTGAAAGCATCCAAGTGGGTATATCCTTGACGTTCCAAAGTAACCACCAGTTCACGGAGATGTCGCAGCTCGTCTTTCCAAATTTGGTTTTGGGTAAAAAGATCGGTGGACATAAGTTTCATGACCTAAGAAAGATACTAGTAATAGTAGTAATATTCTCTATAAGTTTGTTAAGAACCTACTGTCCTCTTGGCCTGCTCATGATATCCCACAAGAAGTGTATTATCCGTGGAGAGTTTGGAAACTGCTTCCTGCAGGATATCAACATATTTCTGGACGGATTTTTCGTCCTGCCAGGCGACTGTTTCGCTTTGGACCAGACGCTGCAGCTCCAAGGCATTTTTCAGCATAATAGGTCGCTGACAGGGAATCATTCGATCTCCAATTGTGTTGTGGAATGTGGCGATCTGCTGCAATCGGCGGGCATAGCACATATATTTGGCTGCATGTGTGGCAGCGGCTCGAAGTTCAAGGGGAACATTATAGCCGAGATTCTCGAACTCGCGTACATCCTGGCAGAAGGTCACCAACTTGGGATTGAAAGTTACGCGCATCAGTTGACGACCTTCTTTTTCGAATTTTACAACCGCTTGATCATCACGAAGTCTGAAGCAATTGAATATAAAGTAATTTTAAATTTGAAAATATCAAAAACAGTAAATGTCACACCCTTACCGCAGCTCTCCGCTTTTGACGGATGTGGAACACTGTCCTGACCAGATCTCAAAGTTAGTGCGAAGTAGGGATTCAGTTTCCTCTTTGATTTCCTGCACTGCCTTGTTGATCTTGTCAAAGCCCTCGCGACCACTTATCAAATGGCTAACCTTCTCGATCTCCTGAATCTGGTGCTGAACTACCTTCAGCCAACGGCACTCGTTGCATATCACTGACAAGTGACCCGTATCCGGTTCCATATTCGAATCCGCCATCGCCTTGCGTAAGTCCTGCAAAAGGATATGCAGCGATTGCAGAAACTGCTCCCTTTCGATGGTCAGCAATTCAAGAACAGCAGGTCTTTGGATAAGAGTCTCATACTTGGAAAAGATGAAGATCACCTGACGTGGATTACTTAGGTGGTTATGCAATTGACCCTTCAAAGCGGCAGCAATTCGTTCATCAATTGGTTGAAGGACCAGTTCAAAGTGCTGCAATGCCTTGTGCCATTTAGTTTGCCCCAATGACGTCGTATCAAAGATGTTGAAGTCTAAAGAAAATCATAATAAATAGTTAAATAAACAAATGTTATTTATTTTATAGACTCACCCGTGAAAGGAGCCTGTTCCTGGAACATTTCCTGCAACTCTGCATCATCGAGTAAGGTGGCAATCTGTTTATAAAGCTGCTTAATATTCCGGATCTCACTGAGTCGTTCCTTAAATTGCTGTCCCCTTTTGGGCACATATGGATCTCCAAGCCACGGATGCTTTACATAATTTGGCCAAAAGAGTCGAGTGAGTGAGTCGCAGAGCTGTATCCAGGCGTCCACCGTATCAATGCTCTGACCCATTAGATTATTGACATGGCTGGAGTTCAAACTCCAAATGTCCTCGGCCAGCAATTGGGTTAAACAAACCTCCAATAGCCGCTTTCCTATGATGTCCAGGAGATCCGACATCCGTTGCTGTGGATAATTGTAGGGCAGTCGCCACAATTCATCTAGATTGTTGTGGGCATGGTCGAGGAACTCTTCTATCGTGCCACTAGGATTATTCCCGTCAATGGTGCTGAGATTGCATATTTAATCGGATTACAATATGATATTTTCATTACTCTTTACCTGATTTGTTTTTCGATATTTTCCAAAACGCCAATGAAAACTTGAGCGGCCTCTCGGTCCAAGCGAGACTGGACTTTTGTCCCAATTTTTGTTTCCAATATTTTATCTCGTCCCGCAGACTTGTAATACCTAGTAAAATAATACAAAATAAGATATAACTTGGCATTGAGATTGTTAGTTGTCAAAAGTGAAAACCCACCGCTCTGTGGTAAACCCAAGCTGGATCCCAAGTTCTGGTGCAAGTTTTCCAGGATTCCACTCAACTCGGGTCCATATTCACTGCGCTAAAAATGAAAAAAAAATATTAGACATAAAAAAGCGCTATAAAAACCCTATCGGAAAAAACAAATTGGATGGCAGGGTGAAGTATAATTGACAAAATGAAATTGCAGACTGGATTGAATTATGCGCAAATGCGATTAAGACTACAGAGAGTGCGACAGCGAGCATGGGAAGTTAAGCCGAGTGAAGGAATTAGCCAGGTAGAATATTACACTAGACTGCACTATACTACACTGGCCAACATACAGACCCACACGTATCTATACTTACCCGGGCTGAGTTGGCAGAGGGCGAGAATACTCGAGAAACAGAATTGTAAATCGACTTGACCAGGCCCCCTTCTAGGGTTAAAATGCCTAGCAGTGGCTCACTATTACCATCCTTGTGATTTTGGCCCACCTGCGGCACCTTGTAGAACAGCAGGCACAGCTCCTCATTCGGTATGCGATGGTGGAATCGGATTTTGCCATCGGATTTACTGTGCACAGCCGAGATGACAGTGTGCTCCTCCTGCTCCAGGAACTCCAGAATCATGGCCGTTTGCTCGTCTAGCTCCGAGCCCGGCAAACGGGCGGAAAAGTATTCCACTTCAGGAAAGCAAAGAAATATTTTTTTCATAAGTTTATGTGGTAAAACCGATATCAAACTCACCAGAAGTATTTATAATAAATTTTGTGCGCTGGGTCATATTGAATTAGGTTTTCTGCTTCCAACGCCTTTTGTTAACTTTCGGTTTCCACCGAAACTCTTTCACTTTTTCCAAAAGCAAACTATTTGTTGTCCTTTTCGGTTGCCATGGGCAACTGCTGCAATGTTGCCTTGAAGTGGTGGGTTTTACACATTAATAAATTTTAAGATATTTTTTATATTAGGTAAATTATTTTAAAATATTATTAAAATTGTGCAATCCCTGTTACTAGTAAAAATAATGTTTTTATAAGGACCTCTTCGAAAATTACCAAAAATTATAGGTTCGACGTTTCTTTCAGTGTATTTGCTTCTGTTACTAAGGATTTTGCTGAGCGTGTTGGTGTTTTTTCCTTGCACCTGTTGTTTGCCTTTGGGCATATGACACGTGTTGTAGTTGCCATGGCTTGGACATGGAGTGAGAGTGCTGGATGGCTTGTGTTTGTCCCTGACTAGTTTTCATGCATCCCCTGGCATTACCTCAATCCACTCTGGACGGATGCACTAAAAATGCCTCAGCAGGTTTATATCATTTGAATGCCCATTAATTGAATTGTGCGGGAGTGCTCGAACAGCTGGGACAGACAAACAGGCATGGACGGGGCATGACCAGATTCGACAGGACGGCTCCTGACTTTCCAAAAGCTGATACAACTCAATTTTGGGCGACAGCAGGTGATGTGACCAGTTTAAGGCAGGAGTATTACATATCAAAAGGCTATAAAATTTATTTTACTACAGAATCATTAAGTTTAGCACAAAGATTTAAGTTACCTTCAAAGATGAAGTAAATTATTTAACATTTATTTAATATTTTTTCTACTTTTATATTTTAAATTTATTATGTTTAATAAAAGCAATATCTTTTATAATTTATGATTTTATTAAATATTTTATGGTAGGACATTCATTTTCTTTATCCCTTTGCATCTTGGGCCAAAGTTCTCGTGATTCTAATCGGATTTTCGGTGAGCTGGGGGATTCAAGTTGGGCCTAAACTTTTGGCATTGGTGGAAAACTTAGTTAGGCCAACTAACTCCGTAAACTATGAGTTAGACTACCGCATATCCCAGGCGAAGGCTCAGCCTACAAAGAACCTAAAGAAACTCCACGCAAATTTAATAACCGATGCAGGTTGGGTGGTCTCGATGATTCACAGGATGTGATGGGTGGTCCACAGGAAAAGCCAAGCTTCAAGCGCTTAAGCTGTCTTCATGTGTTTGATGCAGCAACGCCAAAATGTTTGCTTTCTACTTCCTTTCATGCAAACCCCTTCGCTTTTTCCACACTCTTTTGTTTGCAATCAAACAAAGTTTCATGGGCAAAAAAAAAGGAGAATCCTCTTTAGCTTGCAAAAAAAGTAGACAATTTTTGCTTTTTGTGAAAGAGCTCAAACTGTTAGTACTGTCAACAGTTGAATTGCCATGGCAACTTCCAGCCATTTAAGCAAATTAACTGTATGATTAAATTGTTCATTTATCCTTATACTTTCTCTTTATCATTTTTTGGTAACTTTATGCATAAAGGAAAAGGCAAAATAAGGATTTTCCTTTTATCAATATGTGATATGTCTTAAGATTAAAGTAAGAAAATAGTGATCTGATTAAGACTTACTATTACTATTGCTATTACTTTCGTCACAATTTATGATCTGCATCTCATTAGATCTTCTAAATACCACCAGAAAATCAAAGACAAATCCCTCTAATTGGAAGTTTAATAAAATGGACCGGAGCATTACATGATAAATACCCAAAATGGGCACTAAATTTATTCAATGCTCTGGGTTGATTTAACCTAATAGTCGTGATGGTTGCTCGCTGATGGCGATTTATGTGCTTGGGGTATTTTTATGTGGCTGCCAGGGTTGACAACTACTCGCACTCGTATCGATAATATTTTATGTGATTCTGTTCTTTTTTTATTGCCTGCGATTAGGAGACAGTTTTCTTTGGGCCTGTGAAGGAAATCTACTGAGAAAGACAATGAAAGAACTTCCTCCGGGGGGATGTGGCAATTTTGGTGCTGGTTTGCCAAGAATTTATGGTTTATGGATTTTGTCAAATTACATGTTATTCCAGCCAGCTTTTCCGACCAACCTTTTGTCTATAAACTGTCAACACATTCAAGGCGTTTGCATTTGAACGAAGAGGAAAATGGGAAAAATTGTTAGCATGTGTTTGGGAGTCTTTGGCTTTTTGCATTGAAATTGCTCTTTGATACCCCTGTACATTGTTTATTTGTTTACTTTCCTTATTTTATTTTTGCTACCATAAAAGCATATCAATGTGTAAATTTTTATCGCCCAACAGCTTGGCAACCATAAAGTGGAAATTATATCGAAGATTATGATTGTTATGGGTTCTATGACATGCAATTTATGAATGTCCAGGCTAATAAATAAATATAAATTGAGAACAGAAGAGCGGTTAAAGGTCGTGTATGTTGAGTTGCTAGGCAAATTTCCTCATATCTGGTGGTTAGCCATAAAAGAATTTAATTCAGATGATCTGCTATTTGAAGGTTATAATATAGGAATGGGGGTAGCTCCTTCTTATAAGTACAAGCTTTCTGATTCCTGACTAAATATTTCGTCCCTTTGCCAATACGATTTAATGAATTGCTCAAATAGCTTAAACGGAAAACAATGCGAATAAGGTTAACTCTTGTTGGCCCAATGCATTTTAGATACTTTGCTTGCTACCACGCCTCCAAACAATACCAAATACAAGAGCAAATAAGCCAAGAGGGCAATAGGAAACTAATTGAGGGTCGAGTGGGTGGAATTTTTCGAAAAGAAATCAGGTAAAATTGCCGAACGATTGTTTATGTTTGTGGGTCCTTGTGTACATGTAAACAATGAATATGCATGACTTGCCATGGAAGCATGCCACACATGCAACAACAGAAATCGAGAGACAGGAAAAGCAACTTCAATTTACGAAAGTGATATTCTGATCCGAAGAAAAAGGAAGAGAAATGCCAACGAGTATTAGAAAGAGATGGGTGGCACACTTTTCGATTGCGATGCATAACGTTGATTAATTAATGCCGTCGATATGCCGATGACAGTTGCTGGAATTTCCTTCGTTCGAGCGGAAATAGAACTTAGTTGAGTTGCCTGCCGCCTGGCTTTGCTACCTTCGACTAGAAAGTTAAGAGCAGCTTAACCCCTTTCATTTGCGAAATGTTTGCTATTCAGTTTACATTAAGGGGGAGTTTTTCGATTGGGAAATGCATTTCGAGTCCTCGCATCTTCAAGAGGCCTTCAGAGTCTTCAGTGTCTGTGGCGCATAATCTGGCAATTAGTAAATGTCAAATTCCCAGCTCGCATTGAAAGTCAAAATTTACAGCCTGCGAATCGCAGTTATATATCATCGGGCAGTCCAAGGAGACGGCGCCTGTAAATATGCAACGGAAATTGCAGCTACGCATGTGATTATGTTGTCTCCGTCTCCGAGGAGCGCATAAGTATGCAGGAATATGTAAACACACACATGTGCTACATATTTGTATATACATATTTGTCTGTGTGCCTGCCTGTGTGCGTGGCTGGGTCCTTGGCTTGATTAAAAGCCTTGTCCCGGCGATGAATTGTTGCTGCATACTTTGGGGCTTTCCTGTGGAGCAGCATTCGCCATTTAAGGTGAGCTGGGTCTCAAGATTTTGATGCACTGGGGGAGAATTTAATGTTCAGGAAGAGGTCTATTACTGCAAAACGCGAGACTAAAAATTACTATAAGGATATAAAGCGCATTATGAGTTTATGTTCAATTAACAAGGCAGAAAGAAATGAGCCATCAAACCGTACTCTTTGTGAATTAGTGGAAAATTCCTTAAAAATTATGTCACACTTCTGAATTTAAACAAAGCAAGACCGAAAGAATGCGAAGTTTATCAGAAAGCAGCTCAAAAAATACATTTACGGAAAACACTAGTATCAAAATCAATTCCACCCTAGTCAATTTGGAGACTATTTTCAGTTCGACATACGACATATGACCCTATTCATAGAATAGTGGATGTTTCTCTGAGGGCACTTGAAATTATTTTTCCTAAACGGAGAACTACAATCTGTTTCCAAATTTGAAGAAAAAGTATTTTGAAACTGATTTCTTTTTCGTAATGGTTGCAAATATTGTTTAACTTTCACTAAATTTAGTGAATGTGTTGAAATCAGCTTATACGACCTAATATATTTTGGGTTTTTAAACAAATTTTAAGAGCTCAAGAATAAGTTTTCATGATATAGAAACAGACATTGACAATAAATTTTAAGCAAGTTTGTTTAAAACTGGATCACAAATTTTGAAAACACTCTATACATTTTTTATTAATAAAGAATCTTAAATAAATTGATCTTAAAAATTATAATTATAATTATTGTAACAAACTTTCTTTACATATTAATCATTTTCCATTCTTAAGAAGCTGAGAACGGAGAACATCTCATCTGAAAAACGTAAATGACGCCCTCTCAAATGAATAATTGAACATAATTAGCCACCATTAACGAGAGCACATCCCCTGGAGCGGGCCAAAACCGAATGCAAAGTGAAGCTCTGACACACACAGTTGGCCAGCTCGGGGGCATTTTGGGCAAATCAAAGCGAATCAACAGCACAATTTGGTGGGGTCACAGGGGTTCACAGTGGTTTGTAGAGACCCTAATAAGTCAACTGCAATGCATAAATTTCGACACAGCATCCAGGCTTAGGTCAGGTGGCAAACCCAAACCCAAACACAAAACCCAAATCGGAGGACTAGGCCAAGTGTTTGCCATTCGGACTTTGGCAAATAACCCAGGAAATCGTGGAGAGACGGGGTAGGAGCAATGCTGCGTTTAAGGAATTTCCTGATTGACAATGTGGTCTTTACTAGGGACCGCCCACTTTTGTCGCCTTCGTCGTTGGTCAAGAGCAAATTTGGCAATACAACAAAACGCCTTTAACCTTTGACAGGCTGCACACATTTCAATTGTTGAAAATTTGTGGCCCAACAGTAGGGTCGAACATTAAAATTGATTACCCCAACAGTTTGACTAATAGATGGTTTTGGGATCTTTGGGGTCAGGCCTCAAGTGTTCCCTTATACAGCAACACAGGAAAACGTTTTCTTTTAATAAGGTAATGGATTAAAACAAATGGAAATATTTCCCTATATATGTATACTTGTTTCTTTTAATACATGGAAAATGTTTTTTATTTTAAAGTTAGGGCCCTTACATTTTTAAGTTTTAATTTTAAAAGATAATAATTCTATTTTTTCAGTGAACTTTTCTTACATTTGCTGATATTTCCTTTTCAACACTTTGCTATCGTTTAATCTGAATTGGCAACCTTTTAAGCATAAGTTGGAATCGCACAAGCGATTGCGAGGAAAATTAATATAAATGACAATTTCCGCATTGCCTTAAGCGGTTATCAATTGCCGCTCTGCGATGCTAATCGTATAATCCTTTTTAAATGATTGCGCAAACAAACGGATATTAATGTCATAAACAATTCACACATGCAACTACACAGCACTCGCACGCCATGTAATTCTGTTTATTGCTTGAGGTTATTTAATATTCAATTTTCGGTTCTCGTTTCTTGGCCATATCCTGGCCTCCACCTCATAAAATGCGAAAAACTCATAAAACCCATGGCAAACATATTTTAATCTGCACATGGGTAAATGCTGCCGAAAAATGAAAATGAAAAAAAGTACAAGCTGGCAGGATGAATTTATCACGAGAATATTGTAAATACAAAACTGTTTGCCTGCATTTTATTGAGTTCCGTTTGTGTAAAAATATACTGCTGTACATTTTAGCATATTTTTACAAATCTCCCAAAAAATAGCTTAATCTTATAGTTGTATTGTTGGCTTCATGGTATTTCAAAAAATATTTACTAGCATGAATTGGTATCCAATTTCCAATTAATGGGAATGTTTCTATTTGGATTTCGGATAACTGCACACTTCAGTTTTCCTTTGATTTATTCATAAACATTAATACTGGGAAAAATGTATTTTAAGCTAATTATAATACTTCTGGGAAAAACATTTTTATTTTGTTTATAGATTTTTATTTAAGTAAATTGGCAATTGAAGTCGAATTTTTAAAGAAAAAAAAAACATTTTTCTAGGCTGCTTAGAAAAATATGTTAAAAGTTAACATTGGTATTTCCACATATATTTAAATATAAACAAAAAGAATTGTCTATAGCAGACTTTGACCATAATCATGGCTCTGGAAAACATAAGCGGAATGGATAAGAATGCGTTTATGAGGAAATATGGATCTCTTAACTCTGAGCAGACAATTAAACAAATCCGACTGGCGTGGAGTAACATGGATGATCCTTTTGCAATAATGGCCCCACCATTTGAGAGACCGCGGGAAAGACTGGATGAACTAACAGCCCAGAGTAATGTGCGGATGGACTTTAATCATGGAACCACCACGGTGGGTTTCGTCTATAAAGGTGGTATTATTCTTTGTGTGGACTCTAGAGCAACGGCGGGAAATTTCATCGGATCCCAGAGTATGCAGAAGGTCGTCCAGGTGAACCAGTATATACTGAGTACAATGGCAGGAGGAGCAGCGGATTGCACTTACTGGGATCGTGTTTTGGCCAGGGAGTGCCGTCTTCACGAACTGCGCTATAAGGAGCGCCTATCTGTTCGATCTGCTGCCAGATTTATTTGCAATGTGGCAGCCGATTATAAGGGAATGGGTCTCTGCATGGGAATGATGCTCGCAGGTTGGTCACCCGAAGGACCCAGTTTGGTTTATGTGGATTCCGATGCGTTGCGCATTCATGGAAAAGTCTTTGCCGTAGGCAGTGGAGCTTCGAATGCCTTGGGAATATTGGATACTGACTACAACTATAATCTGAGTGATAATGAGGCCTTCGATCTGGCCTTTCGCGCAGTGTATCATGCCACTATGAGAGATGTTTTTTCAGGCGGATTGGTGAGACTGTATCATATGGATAAAAGTTGTTGGAAAAATGTGGCCAACAAAGATTGCCAAGAGTTGCACGAAGAAGTACTCGATAAATGGGAATAATCATTGAGTTCTGCATGTTCTGTATGTAAGCTTTAGGTTTCCTTTAAATAATTCTCCGTTAGCTAATTAATTTATTTCTTTAAATCTGGGAATTTACACGCTATTATATATTACCAAATTCAGACAAAATAATAAATGCTGCTAGCTTGTTTATTTTCTAATTTGGTTACACGTTTTTAATTAGTGCGCCTTTTGTTTACTTAAATTTGCACCCAATTTTAACACGCTCCATAAGCTTTTTGGCCCCACGACCATGAAAATTGCTAGTCGCTAATCATTTTGCGCTAAATTAAGTGACCTAATGGAATGCTCTGATTTTTCCGCACTTTTTTAATGCTGACACGCAAGGTTGGGTCAGGCCTCCTCGAAAAAGAGAGCATAAAACACGTAAATTGCCTCCTTTCTGAACATTGGCACAACAATTAAGTTGGCATTTAAGTCGAATAAAGGACAGAAGCAGACACCAAAAAAGAGTTAACAAAAGTCCCTGCATAAATCAATGGCAACAGCATTATTTGGGCATAGAAGGCGCTGGGAATGAAAAAGGGTCCAAATACTTAAATTTTTCCCGCTTCATGTTTGCAGACCTCCGACCCCGTCACAGCAGCAATAATAAACAAGAAAGTGTGAAATAAAGCCAAATGGACATAAAAATTTGTATGTCCAACACGAGGAAAACGGCAGCAGGAAAATGTAAGGAAAAATGCAGGCACAGCAATAAAACGCGGCGAGTGCTTTTAATTTGAAATGCTGCGAGGATAGGACTAAAAGTCCCTGAAACTCTTTATTCCTTTTCTCTTTTTAACCTTTTAAGTTCCTTCTCGGGGATTGGGATTGGGATTGGTATCGGGATCTGTGAAGGTGCGGGACCTCTTATAACGCTTGTGTGGATTACAAATCCCACCGGTACAATAAACTGCTTTATTTGCAAAAGTTATTTGCAGCAGAAGAAATAACTAAATAAAACAAATTTAAATACGGATGTCGGCTACAATGAAATTGAAAAATAATGTTGAAGCTAAATATTTGCAGAGCTGCAAGAATAATATACAACTATGCTAGTTGGAGAAGTTTATTTTAAACCAGAACCAGAAATTATGAAACTTTTGACTTTGGTCAACAACACAATTTAATTTCGCATTGCAAAACATACTCGATGAAAAAATATATAAATCATAAATGTTATCAGAATTAGTCATAACAAAATCTAGAGAATAATTTTTATTGCCTTCTACTACGATATTTTTTGCCAGTGCTTTTGAGCACATTCAGTAACCTAATTAGTATCCCACCTGCTGAAGAACATTTATTATTATCCTTTAGAATGAGAGGTGGAACCTCCTCAACTACAAACTCCGCTGCTCTTGTTTTATGTGCCTTGGCCATAATAAATGTTGTCATGCCGTTCTTTTGGACCTTTCCAACTTCCTAACCCGCTTTCAAACAAGCAATAAATGTCAGCGGCTCGGTTGAACCGGGCATAAACTACAATGGCCGACGGATACTTTATTTAACACTTGCATAAACGGACATGGTCACAGATATCTCTCACACTCTCCGGATGTGGGGGCTATAAAAAGTGCAGCTATTCTAAAGAATGGTTTGGGGTAACCGGAGAATGGGAGCACGTGTGCACCTCGTTATTTCTATGGGGTGCAATCAAAACGGGTCCAGGCACAGCACTTAAGTTCTAAAAAAAGATGGAACAATAGGAGTTTGTTGGATGCTAAAAATGGAACAACCTAGAAAAGTATTTTCCTGCCTATATCTGTTTTTTAAATCTCGTTCTAAAACTTGTTTCTGAATTCATTTCCCTGTCTCTTCAATCTATTTTCCATCTTCTTTTCTAAACCTAATGTCATTGGATCTTCGTCTCGTTTACTGTGCTGCAAATGTGTCCCTTAAATCTAAGCAAGCCGTCGACACTAAGCCATCGGATAGAAGAACTCGTTGAGTGAAGTGCGCTGGCTGGAGTGTGAAAGCCAAAGCAATACACTGAACAGATTAAAAAAGTTATCCATTATTAAGATATTCTGATTGTTCTATAATTCTTTTACATTTAGCCATATCATGATATAAAAAGACACAAAAATCATATTTAGATAATCTTGTTCTATTTTTCGAATCAAGAATATTATTTTCTCAGTGAAACAGCGTAGCCCATGATTGCCACGCCTCAAAGACCAAGCGCCTCCAGCGAGAGGAACATAAAAAAATATTATGTCAATAGATAAAAGTCAAAGTGGAGACGACAGGCAGTGAAGACAACATCGTGGATAACAAACAGCAAACATTGGCCAAATGTCGCGTGTTCAATTGTGCAGGCCCAGCCTCCTCCGACAGCCCCTTAAAGCACCACCCACAAATTTCCAACCCATCGTCCACATCCACCCACTGTCACTGTTTATTTTATTGATGTCGCTGCCGCTGACTTTGCCTTTGCAACTGGAGGGAGCCATAACAAAGTCATCAGCGGGTGGTAATGTGGGGTAAAGTGGGTGAAAAGAGGTTGATTCCAAGGGCCAAAGGAACGGCGTGGAAGGGTGGGTCAAAGAGGAGTGGATCCCTTCTTGTTTTACGACCAACGAAGCGGCCATAATTGTGCATTCACAGTCACAGTCATACCCACATTCGCATTCACTTGCTTATTATAGGCACTGAGAAATGGCTGTGGCCTGGATGGATTCTCCTTTTTCCCCGACTCCTCCTCCCTGGGATTTCCCGATTCTCTGGTAATTTGCAAGTGATTTATGGGACCTTATGCATAAAGGAAAGTAGGACCCAAAAGCTGGTCACCGGGGGCAACAATTTCCATTTGGCGTTCGGTTCCTGCTCGAAACACTTGATTAGCCGCGATGATTGAACGGTTATTGGTAAATTGAAAGTTGTGTTCTTTGATGGCAGCGAAGGACTTTTGGGGTATTTTTCTTACAGGTGAGAATATATTTTTCCTTGTGGAAGTAAAATTTTAATCACAAGGTGTTTATTGATTTTCACTATTTAAATTGATAAATTAAACTTGTAAGTTTTTAACATTAATAGCACCGCCAAAACACATTTTTAAGAAATTCAACAAAATCATGTGATTCCTGTCACTCACCCGATTATAAAATGGCTAGAAAACTCCAATTAAATTTCTACCCCACTGGCCTACTTTGGATTTGATGTGGAACACATAGAATTTTATATTTTCGTGATTTATTAGCCACTGCCAACCGCAGGCGATGACGGCACTCAACAGCATTCCGCAAACCGTAATTTGAGTTACCCAAAAACAAAAAAAAATATAAAAAAAACTCCCAACACACAGCAGATACACGGCCAAATGACAGCTACAAAAAATATTATAAATATAAATATTTTCGGAGCAGAAGCACATGCAATCTTGTGCAATTTTCACGCTGCAAGCGAACAAAGAGGAACGGAACCTAACACAATCCCTATAACAAACCCGCCCACAAAGCCACCCAGAAAACCAACCCAAGCTGTCAGCGCAAACAGTTGCAAACAGACATGAAGATTATGGTACGTAGGGGGATATGCAGGGCAGTCGTTACAATGTACTTACATATAACTGCGAACTATATATAGTATAAATATGTATAGAGAGATTTCCAGATCCTCACGTTTTTCGTTTGTTTGTCGGAGAGGCAAATTTGGTAATTTTGTTTCTAGAACACTTGAAATAATTTTCTTCCTCAACACCAAAAAAAAAGGAAAAGAATACCAAAAAAAACAGAAAAGTTTTCGAGTTCTTGGCAAAACTTCTTTGTGGTGTAAGTTGAGAAATTTATTGAGCTTCCCGTTAAGTACTTAAAGTTGGGCTTTGGCAAACAATTTTGATATGAGCATTGAGCTTGAGTTTGGCATTTTCTACATGCTTAAACGTAAACAAATTCGTCACTTAGTGCTGTGAATAATCTTCGATTGAAATTTATTTTCAATTGAGAAAGAATCAGCTTGAGGGATTTTCGAAGCTTGCTTTTAGGCGCTGATAAATTGAATATAAATTGTTGCTTAAGGGCTCCGTTTAACTGCTTTTCTCATTAGTGTTGCACTTTTAAATTCAATATCTAAACAGGTCACTTCACCTCAAGAATATAAATCCTGACAGCTTGATTTTGTTTTCTTTCTTACAGCCGCACTCAAAAAGGCCTTAAGCTGTCAACTCTAGCATATTTCACGCTTTTTTTATTTATCCTGCTTTGCAGCTTTTCTTTTGTCTTTTTATTTGTTTTTCCTTGACTTTTTGCCACCACTCTGGTAGTTGTTATTGTGAAAAACTCGTCTAAGCTGCTGGAAAATCGCAAATTTATGTTAATTTTACGTAGACATTATTGTAAATGATGAGCACTGGAAGGAAATTAAATGAAATAAAATGTCAACTTTTAGAAATGATTCTGTTTTGGTCTGCTGAGATTTTCCTTACTGACCTATGATCTTTTATATTTTCCTGAGCTGATTTTCTATGCAAAGGTCAGTTGTGTGATTATTCAAAGACTTCTTCTGCAAATCACCGAAAGCCAAAAAGCTGCCATTGAAATCCACTTAAGAACAGGACCTGCCACTGAGCCAAAGGAAACACAGGCATGGTAAGAGGATTTCCACTACATTTTATATATGTATATAAAATGTATTTCCCCAGTAGTTTTATCTGGTTTGGTTCACACATTTCATTTGATTTCCCTGAATGGGTAGAAATAAACGCAAAATTTGATAGATGTTCTGGCTGGGCAAATGTGACGCATTTTCGATTTTCCTCCGAAAGGCACTTTTTACACCATTTTTATGTGCTCGAAAAAGTTTGTTTGTCCGCCTGTCGGTTTGTTTATACATCACTATCTGTGCTCCCATTTTCCCCTCCCCTCCTGTCTATTTATTTATTTTCCAAATAAATGCTGGCTTCTCCGCCGTTTCCTGTTTCTTCCTTCACTCTCGTTGAACTCTCAAGGATTGAATTGAATTAAATTGAACAAAGTTTGCTCGCCTCGAACTGCAGCCTTCAGATAAGGTTGCTATGCGGAAGACGGGGGAGGCGAGGGATCGCATATAAATGCAACAATATTTGAGCGAT